CTGACCTCCCACCATGGAAATTAAGGGATAATTCCTCACAAATTACACACTGGGCTTTTCCTCCATTTTGGTTTCCCTTAGGTTAAAAGGCCTTCTCCTCCAAATCCCTCAACTTAGATAACTAACCCTTTCCTTCCTACATAGGGACTGACTGCTGATAAAAAGCAGGAAAGAGAATTACTTGAAATCAACTAGGAAGGGTCCGTTCTGGTACTGCTACCAATTGAAACCATGGTTCATATGGCTGAGAGAGGTTGGACACTGTGCTAGTTGGTTTTGCCAGCTTGACACAAACAAACTAGTCATGAAGAAAGGAGGTCCCTCAGCTGAGGAATTTTTTTCATTGGCTTGTGGGAATGTCTGTGGTGTATTTTCTTAATTGCTAATTGATGTAAGTGGGCTCACTTTGGGCAGCAGCATCCCTAGGCAGGTATGCCACATCAAAGCTGCTGTGATGAGCAAATGAAGAAAAGTAAGATGGGTACATGGATACATGGAATGGGCACAGGAATCAGGGGTCAGGTAGACTGGGATCTCTGATGGAGATACCACAGCAGTCTGTAAGCTCAGCATACTTATTATGTGGAGTTGAACAGAGAGGGGGGTTATTGCATACAGCTGAACAAGGAGGTGGGGCTATGCACATAAAACAGAAGGTGGGGTTTACCTTATGCAGCTAGATCAAAGAGAAAGTTTTAGCTAATCTCTGTAGGAATGGTCTCTGTATGGAACAGGTTTGCCATAAATATCTGAGGAGGGAAAGCTATGGTGAATGCTTTTATACACAGTGTCATCAATCAAAGAAGTCTTTTCCACCCCTATATAATCCATTTAAAGCACTGGGTCTCAAACTATAGGTTGTGAACCTTTGGAGTAAAATGACCTTTTCATTGAGGTCTCATAAGACCATTAGAAAATATAAATTTACACTGTGATTCATAACAGTAGCAAAATTACAGTTATGAAGTAGGAATGAACATAATATTTTGTTGGGGATAATCATAGCATGAGGAACTCTAACTATATTAAAGGGTTGCAGCACTAAGAAAGTTGAGAACCACTATTTATAGGCTAACTTTTATTTATATTTTTATGTGGTCCTGAGGATCAAATCCAGGAACTGCTATATGTTAGGCATGCACTCTGTCACTGAGCTAGATCCCCAGTCTAAAACACTAAATTTTTCTGGTCTTTACTGTTGTTGAGAAAGTCTTTCTGTGTATTCCAGCCTGGCCTAAAATATGTGTTCCTCCTGATTCAATCTCAATGCTAGGACATTGGTGCAACCTTCTTGCATTTCATCTATATGTCGTATGCATATATGTATGTATACAGATTTTAGCATACATGAGAAGGCCAGAGGTTGACATGAGTGTTCTCCTTGATTGCTCTTCACCTTCTATATTGAGGCAGGATCTCTCATTTAAACACAGATCATGTCAAATTGGCTGTTCTAGCTAGTTGGCTTGCTCTGTGGGCCCCTGTCTCTGTCTCCTAACAACTGGAATTACAGACAGGCTTTCATACCCACTATATATTTATGTGGATTCTGGGGATCTGAATTCCAGCCTTCCTTACTTCCTGGGAGAGCATTTTACCCACAGAAACATCTCCCTAGTCCTAAAGCATTGATTTTCAAAGAGCAAAAGTAAAACTACAATATAGAGCTGGATATCATGGTTCATGCCTATCCAGCATAGAGGTAGCTGATATAGGAGGATTGTAAGAGATTTAAGACCAGCCTAGGCCACATATGGAGTTCCAGGGCAGTCAAGGTTACATATTAGGACTTTGTCTCAAAAACTATGTATACCAAATACACACATGTGTCCACCACATACATAGGAATCCCCGCTTTTATGTTATAATTGAAAGGGGGATTGGGATGCAGCTTAGATAGAGAGTTTTACCTATGATGATTTAGGCCCTAGCTTTGTCCCAAGAACAGGGAGGAAATGGGCAAATTAATATTTAGTATCTAAAAATGTAAGCTGGGCTGGGCATGTTGTTGCAGTTATGTAATCCCAGCACTTAGGAGGCTGAAGCAAGGAGACAAGTTAGAACCCACCCTGAACTGCACATCAAGTTGTAGGTCAGCCTGGGCTACATAACATGACTCTGTGTCCAAAAATAAATAAATCAAATATAGTAAAACTGTTCAGGCTCTGTGATACACTCAGACCCAAAGCAGTTGCCTCTAGTAACATAGTATCCCAGCACCTGGTACATTTCAGAACTAATAGGTAGAGCACCATACAGACAGAGGTAGGTGACAGCATTTTTTTAAAATTGTTTTTGGGGGTGGCATTTCTGATACAGGGACTTCCTATAGAGCTCTGGCTGGTATCCAGCTGGCTAAGTATCACCACCGAGTGACCCTGAACTTGTGTTAATCCACTTCCCTCTTCATCCTGAATTCTAGGATTACAGGTATGTGTCACCACAGCTGACTTTTTTATTTTTATTTTTATTTAATTTAGAAACAAAGTTATTTTACATTTCAATCCCAGTTTCTTCTCCCTCCCCTCCTCCCTTGTCCATCACAGGTCCCCTATCTCAACAACTTTCTCTGGGAGGGTTAGGCCTTCCATGGGGGATCATAAAAGTCTGTCATATCATTTGGAACCAGGCCTAGCCCCCCAACCCCATGTGGTTAGGCTGAGAGAGTTTCCCTCTATGTGGAGTGGGCTCACAAAGTCCATTTTCTATACTAGGGATAAATATTGATCCACTAAAAGAGTCCTCATAGATTGCCCAGAACTCCAAACTGACATCCTCATTCAGGGGGTCTGGAACATTTCTATGATGGTTTCACAACTATCAGTTGGGGGTCCATGAGCAACAACTTGTTCAGGTCAGCTGTTTCTGTGGGTTTCTCCATCTGATGGATTTTAAAGATATTTTAGAGTCCTTTGTGGGGTAGTGTGCAAGAGAATAAATCTCAGACCTAACACATGCCAGGTCAGCATTCTGCCAATGAGCTATGTCCTTGGCCAGGGCATACACTTCTAAATGTATTGTACTAACTGTAAAAAAGGCAGTTCCCTGTGTGTACAGTGTAGCCTAAATTAAATGCTTCATATTCTAACACTTCTGTTTTATGAGGAAAAACTGAAAATGCTGAAGTGTTTTTAAAAACATGGTCATGTGACTAAAATACACTGTTCTTTAATTCAAAGTTTCTAAGAGACCAAACTCCCATGTCCCTATTTAATTCCCAGAATCCTAAAGGTTGCCATTTTCTGTGGGGAGCCACAGCCCCAAGATGGCACCTGGCTGGATGCCAGGGAGACCAAGCTTGGCTGTAAACAAGCCTTATTTAGAAGCGCTTAGTGGATCTGGTGTGCCTCCTCCAGCTGTGACCTATCTGGGATCTCCAGGTGGTGTGAGCTAATTGGGTAATGAGCTTGCTATCTGGGATTGCCAGGTGGCAAGAGGTAATTGGGTAATGAGCTTGCTTTTAAGGGCTTGCCGGGGGGGGGGGGGCTAGTAGGGAGAGAAGAAGCAGAGAGAGAAGCTGAAGTAGTAGTAAGAGGAGAAGCTGATGTAGAAGCTGAAGGAGAAGCTAATGTACAAGGTTCCTGAATAAACTGCTTGAAGAAGAGTCATGGTCGTGTCCCTCTTACTGGTCAAGATAGGCGCAACGATTTTCTACACTGAAAAAATTTTTAAAATGTAGAAACCGGTCAGGAAACTACCTCCCTTATATTACAAGCACAATAAACATTAATCTGTGCTATCTTTCAAATCATGTTGGGAGGAATAGATAACACTTTCCTTGCAGTGATTGTCATGGGTGCTATGTAACATGACTCTGAGGTAATTTCCAAACTTCTTTCCTTGTTCACGAATCTGAAGCCTTGCTTTCTGCTGCTTCTCCCAAAGACCACCAAGCTCCCAGCAGGGACATCTGTACCTGCTTCACGTTTCCCATACATGTTACACATTTTTAGGACTTGAGCCTGGCATCACTCTGGGTTTCTGCAATCACTGGTCCTTCTCTCTTTCTAGTCATTCACCCTATTCCAACTGTCTAATACCTGATGGAGTATAACAAGGGTTAGCAAACATGTCCCATTAGGTGCTAGAGATTAGATATTTTACTCCTTGTAGGCTATAGGCTGCATGGTCACTGACAGTAAAACCTATTTCCAAAAGCAGGTAGAGGGTCAGTATTACCAACCCTATGTTAGAAATGTTTTTATTTTGGTGTGTAGTGGCCATACATAATTCCAATGAGAACACAAGGTCCCTTACAGAGGGGTTTCTTTCTCAAGTCTGCTGACAGTTGGATCCTCAAGCTTTGTAGAAGAGTTGGAACATAGTTAAGCATGAAGGGCTTGTTCATGCTGAACCATGTCTTGCATGAAAAGCAAGCAGAAATTTCTCAGAGATGCTATGTAAGGAATCTCCTGGAGTGACAAATGAGTGGTCCCACTACCTTTCACTGTCCCTGCATACAATTCTGAGAGGAGGGTTGTTTATTTTTTAGTAATGTATATTTTTTACAGTCCACTTCCACTTCTTCCTCCCTCCTCTCCTCCAGCATCCTTGGCAACCCATCTCCAATTTGATCCTCAGAGAGGGTAAGGTCCCCTCCTAGGGCATCTACTAAGTATCTGCATCATCGTGTTGAGGCAGGACCAAGGCACCTCCCCTCACCAGAGTGTCAAGGTTGAGCAAGGTGGCTGTTTGTTTTTCTTTTATCTTTTTGAGGAAGGATCACATTGGGAAATCATGTTGACCTTGAATTTAATGTGCAGCATAGACTGATTGAAACTTGTCACCCTCCTGCCTCAGGCTTCTTAGTGCGGGTATCACAGGCATGTTATCACCATGCTCAGTAGATAGGGGATTTTGTTTGCATAAAGGAAGGTCTTGATATTTTTCCCAGACTGGCCAGAATTTCTGGCCTTAGATGATTCTCTCGCCTCAATCTCCTTAGTAGTGGTGAGTTGGATGTACTGGGTTGAGGTCAGATTCATACTTCTCCTTCTTACCTTCTTAACTGACAGGTCATGTTCTAAGTAACCCCCTGAATACTCCTCAGGCTCCTGTAGGTCCTTCATCTTGATAAGCAGTTCTGCCTTGGGGGCTGATGTGCTTTAATAGGTAAAATTGGTGGCCAAGAACACAACCCCTGACACACCTGTTTCCTGTTTCCTGTGTAAAGAAGCCAAAATTTTGATCAGCTGTGAAAATGCACACTCTTTTGAACCCAGAACATGGGTTGTGACACATGGCACTTACAGAAGGACAAGAGCCTGGGATGTGAAAAAAATTTAAACCCAAAATATTAACAACTAAAAAAACAAAATAAAAACCCCACTAATACTCACAAGGTTCACAGACTGCTATTGATTGCTACCATTCTTTTCAGTAGTAGGTTGGGAAATGTGGCCCTTGCATTGCTAAGCAAGTGCTCTCATACCCTGTTCTGTCCCCAACCCAGGACCACAGTACCTTAAAGTTTTCTTTGTCTTTTGCTTTTTCAAGACAGGGTCTCTGTAGCTATGGAGTCTGTCCTGGAACTCGCTCTGTACACCAGGCTGGCCAAAAACTCTCAGAGATCCTCCTGCCTCTGCCTCCGGAGTGCTGGGATTAAAGGTGTGTGTCACCAGATCCTGGAAATTTTTAATTTTTAAAAGTGTGTGTGTATGTTCTGTTGAATCTTGAGCATATATTAGAAACAAACTCTACAACCACAGATGCAGAAAACAAAACTGAGTTTAGACACTGCCACATGGTCACATGTCTCTCATAGAAGCAAAATTGCTTTTCCCATCCCATCAGTGATTCAGATTAGAGCCAAGTCCTTACACATGATAGGTAAGTACTTTACCTCTGAGATACATCCTTGGCCCCTGGTAATTGAAATTTAAACAAACAAGCAAACAAACAACATCTCTAATGAAAGAAAATGCTGTTCATTATCACATCCTCAGGTTTCATAATGCGACTCAAAATAAGGTGATAGGCAGGCAGGCAAAATATACATAGATTCAATACTTGCAAGATTACATGATATCTGTAGGACACATGTACAATACAAGCTCTTAGGTGTATTAGGAGACCCTGTAACCATGCTTCCTAAGAGCTAGCTACAGGTGGTGTTATCGACAGGGTACAGATTAAGATATCCTTAGGAATCTAAGGCAGGAACACTTTGTGTTCAAAGATAGTCAAGGTAACTTGTCTCAAAAAAATGAAATGGGTAAGGCCTATTGCTTAGTGATGACAAACTTGCCTAATATACACGAGGACCTGGGTTCTAGTTCAACGTTTTCAAGAAGTCGGTAGGAGGGAGACAGGCAGTTGTGGTGACATATTCCTATAACCCTTGGGTATAGGAAGCTGAAGTAGAAGGATCAAGTCCAAGGGAGCACAAGCTTCATAGAGACCCTACTTCAAAAACAAATGGATGGATGGAAAGGCATATGATATGCATATTGAATACAGAGATTAGATGATGGACACAACAGAGTTGAGGGGGTGGACGGTTAGCCTCACACCAACAGAGGTTTTCTCAGGGACAGCACTGACAGTATCTGAGGGCTGCCTCATAAACTGTAAGATATGTAGTAGTATCTGCTGCCTTTCTACTAGGTGTGAGGAGTGCTCCATTCTCCAGTGTAGCAGATGAAATTACAGAATGGCATTCCTAAAGGTCCCTAGAGAGGACATGTGGGTACTACCATATCCATTCCAGTTGTAAGCTACGGACAGCAGCAGCAGCTCCAGTGGGCCTCACCTTGCCTCTGCTAAGTTCCATGCAATCAAATCCAGGTATGATCATTTAAAAACTTACCAAAAAGTGCTAAGTACTTCGGACCCCAAGGAAAACCTTACATTTTCCTTGTTCTTGTCCTTCTGCTCTTTGCAGAAGCAATCATGAATATCAATACACCCATAAGTCCCTTCTTTCACTTCTAAGCACACAAGAGAGAGGGACTGAGGAACAAACATCCCATGGTGTTTGTCATCTACTCACTTGTCCTCTGTGACTCTGGGTGAGGGGACTTTGGGAAGCATCTTCCTTCACTGTTGAGAAACCTTCAGAAGGTACTCGTCTTTGGGGAAAATTACTTCCATCAGATCCATGGTTGATTAGATCTTCATGCTGGGGTCCAGGATGTCAGCCAATGACTTGTCCTTTCCCACAATCTCCCTGGCTAGTTCTTCAGACTTCAAGTCACCCATGGTCTTCTCCTTGGCATTCCCATAGTTTAGCGAGTGAAGGGAGGAACAGCAATCTTTGACAGGAGGTACAGGGGTGCTGTGTGGCCTGGGCTTTGGAGAGCGGTATCTCTGAGGGGTTTCCACCTCCTGTAGTGTATACACACAGAAGCAGGAATAGCACTTCTCCGTTGTGCTCAATTACTTGATCTGGTCCCTCTCCAGCCCACTGGACAGCATGGGCAGCTCAGTTGGGCATGAGAGACTCTTTCAGCTCTCCTTCTCAGGCTGGCTTTCTGAGTGCACAATTTCTATGGGCACCATTTTCAAAGAGCTGTTGTTGTCCATTACCTGCTCGATTGTGCAAAGACGGGCTGTCCTGTGAAATCTTGACATGTAGAGATTCCCACCCACGATTCCCACAGGGATCCCAACAGAAAACCCACTGTCAACCTGACAAATAAAAAGACAAGGCAGAGGTTGGAAAGTGTCCTCATCTGACCCCTCACATGCTCTCTGGATGCCTAGCAGTCCAACTCAAACTCTGTCACATACCTACAGCATTCGAGGAAGAGATACTGAATGATGTGTGACCTGATTAATGTTAATTTTTGTTTACTTATAAAATTGGATATTGAACCCAGGGACTTAGTTAAAGACAAGTGCTCTATCACCTGAGCTATGGATACACTCCCTGATTGAGTGTTTTTATTCCGAGCAATAGAAATGCATCAAGCCCCATTTGTTCAATCTCATTTTGTAGGAAAAAAACTCATCAGTGGACTCTAGGTTCTGTAAAGTTGACAAAGTAAACTAAGACAACCTATCCAAGAGATGGGGGCTGCTACAAAAGACTCACCATAACACAATCCAGGAAAGCTGTTGAATAAACTAGATGAAGACAAATATGAATTGAGAGTCTGAGCAGATAGAAATCTAACATCCTTAGTGTTTTTTAACATTGTGATCAAGGAGGTATTGGAGGGCATCTGCCACCAAAGGTGCAAAGATTGGAAAGCATAGGGTGGATTAGAACCAGTGCCCTTAGACCCTAAGCTCTTCTGTAGGATCCATCCGCCTTAAAAAACTGTTATAGCAGGGATGTTGGCCAAAGAGCTACAGGGACTCAGTAGATCAGTAGCCTGGAGTTAATCAGTGAGGAGCAGTAAGCCTTTTAATGCCTGCAGACTTTCAGGGTACTGGGGACATCAGGGAAACTAGGGTCTGTAAGAGAAACTATGACAGAAATGGTTGTTAATGGGTGCTCAGGAACAGAGGTATCCTAGAATTTAGGAGGATTATTTTTGGATGATATAGGGTTCTGTACCAGAGACTATGGGGACAGTGTTGTCTAAGTCCCCAGTAAACTCCAGGCCATTACAAGACAAGGCACTGCAGGACAAGAATTAATAAGAATCACTGGATTGTCAAAGAGATTTAAATGGGCCTGAAATTTAGACATGATATCCCTACCTAGGAGAGGAATGGGCAGCTATGCAAGACCAGAAATTCATGATATTTGTTTATTGTACATGAGGTTATTATGGCTAGGAAACAAAATAAAGTCATAATCCAAGGCATCCCTCAATGAACTGCTGTGAACATTAGGTAGTTGAGTTACATCAAAGAGGAGAAATCTTGGCTATAGATTTCATATGTAATCTGCTGATATTCTTAGCTTCTGAGTTAGTGGTACCTAGTGGGCTTTCAATATGCCTCAAGAGGTTTTGTATGATAGTCACAAATGCTATTAGGTTGGATAAGCAGAAAATGATTGCTTATTAATGGAAATATAGACATCTTCAGGCCATTAAGTCTTGTAATATACTAGGGAGATTCCTTCCACTGATCTGTCAAATTGAACACATTTGGAAAACTTCATATGGAAGAGATGTGGAACCAGGCATCGATAAGAGAGATTAATGTGCTCTGATACACATTTTCATATGTATTGGGTTTATTTCCTTCATTGTCATCAATTAAAGCCCAAATTTCATAAGACAATTTTGTAAGTGGGTAAGGATTTTTAAAAATTTTAATAGAAGTCCATAATGCAACCAGTGAAGTAATCAAACAAACAAGACAGAAAAGATAACAGAAGGAGTCATTGAACCATTTTCTGTCACAGGCCAGTGAGCATTGTTGAGTCTTTGGAAACTTTAGGTAGACATTTCCAAAATCCTTGCTATGACCATGGGGAATTTTGGATTTCTCAAGGTGAAGTAAATTTATTTTCAGATATCAGGAAAACCTACTATGTTTAAGGGAACAGTAGAAGAAATAAAAATCATGCCACTGAACAGGACAGCCGATAGAAATGCCACACTCATGGCAGCCACAGCTTTCTGAATATTTGGATAAAGGGGCATATGGAAAGAGGGTGGAAAGGCAATCCCTTCCTTGTTTACAATGGAGAAATAATTGCACAAGATGGCAAGGAAGACAAAGCTATTGGCAACGATATTCAGAATCACTGAAAGGCTGAAGGCATTGTGGGTAGCTGTCCATACCTGCAGGATGTCAACCTGGGGCAAGAGAGTCAGGAATAGGGAATGGGGACAAGAGATGCAGAAAAAACGACCACAAGACAGGATTCTGATCAAGTGGCACACTTTACTTTTCTCAGGCTAGCTTATATAGTCAGGATATGGGGAGGGTCAGAAAGGGTTGTTTGTGCACCAGGTGTTAGTATAGGCAGGATATTAGGAAGCCACAAAGAGAGGATGTTTGGCAGGGTAAAGAGTTTATGAGTAAGAAAGGGGTCCAGGAAGGGTTGCCTAGGTAACTGAGCCTGCGGGTGGAATGTAGGGTGGAGGACTGGGTTAAGTTGTTTCTTTTCTTGAGCTGAGGTTCTAAGGAGCTGCTATGTAAAGGTTAACTATGTGGCCTGCCAAGCATGGCTTAGGATCTCATGCAAAGCCCTGAGATTTGGCTCCCAACAGGTAGCATTCTGCTCTTGTCTCCATCTGTACACATTTCTAAGAGCAAGAATGGTGGCCACTTTTCCAATCAGCCAGAAAATGCTGGTGATCAGCAGCAGGTGTGGAGAAATATGAATATCCAAAGTGATGAAGGTGTATTGATAACAGGTTCGTACTAATATTGCTGGAGTTGTCATGGTGGTACACGCAGGCTTTCCACACTCCCACAAAGGCCACACTAGGGTAAGAGATCACAGCTTCTTTCAAGTACCATACTTGCCACTGTGGGAGGCTAAAGTGGAGAATTACCAATACAGAGCCAAGTAGAAATATCAGGGTATTTAATAGGGAAAAGCCTTACTTACTGAGCGACCTAGCCAGCCAGCATGGCAGCGGTCTGTACAGCAAGCCGAAAGGGAAACTGAAAAAATGCCCAGCTACCTGATTGCCTCTCACTCTACATCACCCTGACCACACCCTTGCAGGATGTCCCATGGTGTGTGTCACCTACTCACTTGTCCTCTATGACTCTGGGTGAGGGGACTTTGGGAAGCAGCTTCCTTCGCTGCTGAGCTTCCTCTAGGAGGTACTCTTCTTTGGGGAAAATTCTCTCCATCAGATCCATGGTTGTTTTGATCTTCACGCTGGGGTCCAGGATGTCAGCCAATGACTTGTCCTTTCCCACAATTTCCCTGGTTAATTTTTCACACTTCAAGTCATCCATAGTCTTCTCCTTGGCTTTCCCATAGTTGATCGAGGGAGGGGAGGAACAGCTATCTTTGACAGTACGTTCAGGGGTGCTGAGTGGCCTGGGGTCTGCAGGGCAGGATATCTGAGGTATTTCCACCTCCTCTCATGTATACAAACAGAAGTGGGAATAACACTGTTCTGATGTGTTCAATGATTTGTTCTGGTCCCTCTCCAGCCCACTGGGCAGCATGTGCAGTTCAGTTGGGCATGCAAGACTGTCGGCTCTCCTTCTCAGGCTGGCTTCCTGAGTCTCAATGTATAACACGACTCTATCTGCATATTGAGAATCAGTAAATATAATAAGAAGTTCTGTAAAATCCATGAGTACCATGAGAATTGCATATAATTCTGCCTTCTGTACAGATGTATGTGGACTTTGAACTACTTTACTTAACTTACCTGCTTTCTGACCAGCCTTACCTGATTTGTTGGCATCAGTGTAGAAGGTAAGAACTCCAGAAATGGGAGTATGTCTTACAATATGTGGAAGAATCCAGACTGTCTTTTTTATTAATTTAATTCTGTCAGTTTTGGGATCATTGTTGCTAATCATTCCCAAAACGTCAGTAAGAGCTATTTGCCAATATTCATTATCCTTCCATAAGGAGGAAATTTCTGCATTAGTTAAAGGTACTATAATTTCTGTTAGATCTTATCCAGTCAGTTGACAAAGTCTTAATTTTCCCTTTAAAATCAAATCAGAAATCTTTTCTACATCTGTCTTTAACTTTTTAATCTGTTTATGTGGCAGAAATATCCACTTCAATATGGTGTCTTCCCTCTTAATCAGAATCCCAGAAGGATATTCCTTGGATGGCAAGATAACCAGAATACAGTCTAAATTAAGGTTTATCCAATCTACATGTGCATCTAATATTCTGTTTTCTGCACATTGTAACTCTTTTTCTGCCTCAACGGATAATATTCTCTGACTGTCTAGGTCCTTATCACCTTTAAGTGCCATATATATATTTAAAAACACATCACCATGTTCAGTTTTTACTCATAAAACAGAAGTCATAGAATTTGAAGTAGGCTACACTCTACACAAAGGGAACTGCCCTTTTTATAGTTAATACAATACATTTAGAAGTGCAAGCCTTGGCCAAGGACATAGCTCATTGGTAGAATGCTGACCTAGCATGTGTTTGGTCCTAGATTCATTTTCTGACACCCTACCCCACAAAGTATTCCAAAATATCTTTAAAATCCAGTCGTGGTTACACATACCTGTAATCCTAACATTTAGGATGAAGAGGGAAGTGGATTAAGACAAGTTCAGGGTCACTCTGGGATACTTAGCCAGCTGGATACCAGCCAGAGGTACATAACAAGTCCCTGTCTCAGAAATCCCACCCCCAAAAAACATTTAAAAAATGCTGTCACCCTCTTTTGTCTGTTTGGTGCTCTACCTATTTGTTCTGAAATGTACCAGGTGCTGGGATACTGTGTCACTAGAGGCACCTGCTTTGGGTCTGAGGGAATCACAGAGACTGGACAGTTTTACTATATTTGATTTATTTATTTTTGGACACAGAGTCATGTTATGTAGCCCAGGCTGACGTACAACTTGAAGTGCAGTTCAGGGTGGGTTCTAACTTGTCTCCTTGTTTCAGCCTCCTAAATGCTGGAATTACATAACTGCAACAACATGCCCAGCCCGGCATCCATTTTTAGATAGCAAATATTAATTTGCCCATTTCCCCCTGTTCTTGGGTGGAAAGCTAGTGCCTAAGTTATCATAGGTAGCACTCTGTCTCTAAGCTGCATCACAATACCCCTTCCATTATAACATAAAAGGGGAGAATCCTATGTATGTGGTGGACACATGTATGTATTTGGTATACTTAATTTTTGAGACAGAGTCCTGATATGTAGCCTTGTCTGCCCTGGTACTCCATACGTAGCCTAGGCTGGTCTTAAATCTCTTACAATCCTCCTATATCAGCTACCTCCATGCTGGATAGGCATAAACCATGATATCCAGCTCTATATTGTAGTTTTACATTTGCTCTTTGAAAATCAATGCTTTAGGACTAGGGAGATGTTTCTGTGGGTAAAATGCTCTCCCAGGAAGTGAGGAAGTCTGGAGTTCAGATCCCCAGAACCCACATAAATATATAGTGGGTGTGACAGCCTGTCTGTAATTCCAGTTCTTAGGAGACATAGACAGGGGGTCCACAGAGCAAGCCAACTAGGTCAACAGCCAATTTGCCATGATCTGTGTTTAAATGAGAGATCCTGCCTCAATATAGAAGGAGAAGAGCAATCAAGGATAACACTCATGTCAACCTCTGTCTTCTCACCCATGCTAAGATCTGTATACTTACATATATGCATACCACATACAGAAGCAATGCAAGGAGTTTTGCACCAATGATCCTAGCATTGAGATTGAATCAGGGGGAACTAAAGTTTTAGGCCAGGCTGGAATACACAGAAAGACTGTCTCAACAACAGTAAAGACCAAAACCAAAATTAGTGTTTTAGGACTGGGCTCTACATCAATGATAGAATGATGGCCTAACATGTAGCAGGTCCTGGATTTGATCCTCAGGACTACATCAAAATAATAAATAAAAGTTATCCTTTAAATAGCAGTTCTCAACCTTATTAGTGCTACAGCGCTTTAATATAGTTAGAGTTCCTCATGCTGTGATGACACCCAACCATAAAATTATTTTCATTGCTACTACATAAATTTAATTTTGCTACTGTTATGAATCACAGTGTAAATATCTATTTTCTAATGGTCTTATGCGACCCGCATGAAAGGGTCATTTCACTGCAA